ATATATAGTATATATATATATATATATATATATATATATATATATATACGCACACACACACACACACACACACACACACAAACTCTCTTAAAACTTTTTTTAAGGTTTTCAAACCTTAATTTGGGGAGGCAGACCTTTCAAATAGCCTACTCCATAATTGCACACTGGGTTCAGCTATCAGTTTCAATGTAAAAGCCTCAATATCTCAAAACAATGCGCTTCCATTCTCTTTTAAAGTACCTGTATTTTATATTGATCATCGTATTGTATTTCTTTGTGTTCTTTTCTCTCCCTAACACAGTGAGAAGAACTTCCAAACACCTTTCGGAAGAACTTTTTATCCTTTCAGTAACACCTGCACCTTCTTATATCAGTTCAAGCTGAGCAGAGAACAAAGCTATCCGTATTTACACAAGACTTGTTGAAAGGAGGAGATGTGAAAGATATGTGAGATTGTGCGTGAGATGTTTGTTACTGCGTGCAGGTTGCTGATTGGACAGAATCCAGAGTGCAATAGTGTCTACACTTCTATAGCCTAGTGTAGAAATCTACAAAAATGCCCTCTTATCATCATGGAGTACTAAACTGGTGTTCTTTTGCCCAAGGTTCTCCAAAGTTATAAAAGCTTAAAATGTGTGTAACCACATTCTTGAAATCCACATTCTGCTTGGTTATGGGGATGAAAGAATATTTGACTATTATTATTCATTATTTGATTGCCATGGGCCATCTGACTGGCAGCACTTCCCATGAGACCACAGATTTACAGTCTGAATGAACTGCTTCATTTGCATGACTAATATATAAATATATTACAAAATATATATATTATATATATAAACCTGTTATTATATTACAGAGATGATCAAGGGTTCATCAAACCCCACCATACGATCCTCCACCATGCTTCTGAAGGTTATAAGAGTATGCAAATGTCCTATATGTTTATGTTCACATGGTTGACTTCAGTGCAAACAAACGTGATTGGAAAATATAAATTTACAACCAATAACAAAATGCAAATATGTTTGAAAAGTGCATGAAGTGTGTTAAACTACTCTGAATCTCTCCTAAGGACAAGTCTTGTACTCTTGCTTATTGCTGAGCATTAAAGTACAGGAAAGTGTACAACACTTTATCACAAACCCATCCTTCAAAAGAAAGAGGACATTTAGATTTTGAAGAGAATCTTATAAACTTTCAAAAACGTCTTCACAGAATAAATGGCTCATTGAAAGCAGCCCAGCTTGCAGCGTATACAGCATTTATCAACTTCAATGTACAGTCAGCGCAGAACTGGAGCAGTGACACCTGGATGCGAGATGCAGTGGCTGTAAGCTCTTTAACTCTGAATGGCTTATTCCCAAATGACAAGGCCAAGCGTAATGAGGCATTGTGGGCTAATCAGTGGGTTCATTCAGAAGGCTCCAAAGGAACCTTATATTACTCAGCGACTTCTAATTAACCGTGGGATACGGCAAAAGATGATGGCGTGGAGGAGTCTGCGAGACCCTGGGGATACAGGAAAAAGCAGTTCACACAAGCAGATGCACGCTTGCACATAAAGGCAGTTTTCACACACACACACAAACACACACACACACACACACACCATGTTTGGATGGATTGAATTGTAGAGATGCACATCGTAACAAAATGGACACACCTCTCAAAGATGATCAAAGGTCTTTAGGAATAAAGAACACAAATATTCTCAGAGGCTTCACAGGGGTCACGGCCGTGGCATGGACTATTCCAGTGCATATCGATCTTTGAAATTCCAGTAGCTGTTTGGATCCATAAAGTGAATATGCCTGTCTCAGTGTTTATTTAATATGGCATCCCTTAGCAAACTGGGAAGGACATGAAATATGGCTCAAGTTTGCATATTCATATAAATCTGGCAGATTTCCAGACTCTTTTGAATAGTATGAAGGGGCTGATGAGCCATGCCCTTAAGGGGCAATTGTTATTTGCCCAGTCCTCTCAACTCGCCCGTGAGGAGGTTACACAAAAGATTCATCATTAACATAAAAGGTTAATATTTTCCACAGACCGTCTGTGAATGTAATCAGTGCACATAACTGCACTGTTGAACAGTGATATCTTGCATAAATGAGCTGGGCAATGTTCTATGCTCATAAAAGCGCAAGGGGTATGTGGCCTGTATAAGAGTAACGGCAATGTATGTAAGTTAAAATGAAGAAATGTATACAATGTATACAATTATATATAATGCAATTTAAGTCACTTTGGATAAAAGTGTTTGTCAAATGCATAAATGTAAGTATGTATGAATGAATGCATGAATTTTTTTTTCTGTTTTTGTTAAATAATTTTTTCCACTGATGCTATAAATGTGTGTGTGTGTTTTCGTTTTATATATATACTGTATATTTTGGAAACATGTTGGTCAGAGTTTTGAAATGGGACTGAGGGACTATCAAATAAGGAGCGGTTGGCATCTGATAAGATTCATCAGCTGTCACTGAACTGTGAAGCCTATTGAACTAAGAAAGCATTTAGACTCCCTTCCCCTCCCACTTCTGGGTATCATCATTGCTTTAGGACAGTGTTTCTCAACCCTGGTCCTGGGCGCCCCCCAACACTGCTCATTTTGTATGTCTCCCTTGTCTGACACACCCATTTCAGGTCCTGGAGTTTCTTCTAATGAGCTAATGAGTTGAATCAGGTGTGTTTGATTAGGGAGACACACCAAATGTGCAGTGTTGGGGGGCGCCCAGGACCAGGGTTGAGAATCACTGCTTTAGGACATTAAACCTTTGCATGGTCACTTGTGGCTGTTCTGAAGCTCTTGATTCACTTCAGCTTCATTTCTGCAGTTTAACAATGCACATGTTGCACTTCTGTTCTGTCACATAGTTTGTAGTCACCCATTAAATTAATTTGCAATAATCATGATTTATTTGTTCTGTTCTAATCACATCTTGTAAATCTTTCAGCTCTTTTCCTGACAGATTTGATTAACGAAGAAAATTATATACTTAACAATGAGTAGAGAAAAAAAATGAACTCAGTATTACTTATTAAACCCAGGTAACAGCCTCAGCAAGGGATGGTTGACTTAAGACAGAGGTTAAATGTCTGTTTGTTTGCTCTTACCTTAGTGTGCAGGGAATTACCCAAGATCCTCTTTTCAACACTCACAACTCACTTTGTCTACTCCTACAGCCAGAGCAAATTTAAGCTTTGCTTGAAGGGAAAGGGAGGAAAAATTAATGTGGTTGCATTATGTTTCATTCAGACAACAGGTAAGATTAATATACTAAAACAGAAGAGCACTTTAAAAGATCGTGGAAAGGCGCATTGCCTCAGTAGGAAGCATGTAGACAGGAAATGGAAAAACGTGGAACATTTATAACGTGGCGTTAACAAAGAAGATTACACAGTAGGTCAGTTGTTTAAAGGAATGTCGTCTTGACATTGTTCTGGCTGCTGACGATCAATATATATAACTTTTAATACAACGGAATTAAAGTGAAGTGAACGTCATATCAGAGGAGGCAAAGAGTAACACTGCCCTCTAGCGATACGATAAAGAACTGGACAATCAATTATGGGTCTACTGTTACTCCTAAACGACAAAAAAAAAAAAAAAAAAAAGACATTAAAATCTAACAGTAACAGTAAACGGTACATTTACCTCAACGTTTGGAGCTCGAAAATGAATAAAAATACGCAAAGTCTCGTTAACCAACAGGTGGCACTAGTAAACCTAAATAATTCAGGATGTCAACAGCATTAAGTTATCTCTGTACACAAAATGCATGTGGGAAGATACAGTTATTGTCTCTGGTTATGAATACATGTGGTATACAGTTGAGTAATACACATGGGGTCCAAAAGTCTGAGGCCGCACTGAAAATCTGGCATTCAAATTTTAATTAGAAGTAGCCTATACAGAATATTTTAGGTTTTATCACTAACCTGTGGAGTCCATGCCCGCTTGAAAATGTTACAATAAAATAATTAGTAATAAAATTTAATAGAGAGAGAGATTACGGATATGAATTATGTGGGTTTTAAGAATTGTGTGGTTTAAAGACACAGAAGACGGTTTTTAAATGAAATCAAGGCGTTTAATAAAACATTTATGAAAACACACTAATCATGATTTAAAGCTGCACAAAGAAATACTATGGTACCATGAGTTTACTCCTTGGGATAGTTTGCCCAAAACTTCTGTTGTGTTCAACAGAAGAAACGAACCCATCCAGGTTTGGAACAACTTGAGGTTGAGTAAATGTTGACAGAATTTTCATTTTTTGGCGGTGAACTATCCCTTTAAACAGACACATGTGCATTGCACTCAGCTGCACTGAACTCCAGTTTT